AAATCCCTTAATTTTATCCTTTACATAGAATGAATCAGAAGCAGCAGGTTCCTCAAAGTGAACACAATCCTGAATGAATTCTTCCTTATCAACATCCTTAAGTTTTATTTTCTTTGAATAGCAAGTTTCTTTCTAGGCCACTCCAATATTTTAATAATTGAAGGTTTAAGAATGCAGTGTTAAGGTTTAAGCATTTTGAGTATTTTTTCCCTTATGATAGGACCATTAGTCAATAAATTAAACATTTCATCTTCTTTCTTACAGAAATTACTGAAAACACAATTTGTGTTGGCCTTGCTCGTGTTGGTGCTCTAGATGAGAAGATTGCTTCAGGCACTCTACAGCAGATGTCCACTGTGGAATTGGGTGCTCCACTACATTCCTTAATTGTTACAGGCACTATGCATCCTCTGGAATTGGAAATGCTTAAACTATTCTCTGTAGATAGTTCCAGTTTTGAAAATAATGCATGTCAAAGGACTGCTTAAATAAAAACGAGGCATTTACATTTTCATTCCATCTTTAATTGCATAACAGCATAAAGATATTGCTGTGACTATTTAAGACTTGTCTAACTGTAGTTAGACTCAGAGGGCAATGCTGCAGGAACATGGACCTGCTTTTACCTGAGGCTGCAAACTGCACCTGCTGGTATCAGCTTCTACCCTGCAGACACCTCCAGAAACCTTTGCCTCAGATCACTGACATCCACTCCAGTCTTGGGCTGCTGACTGCAATAAGAAGAGTACCAGGTATCTGTGTGGCATCACTTGCTGTAGTGCATACATTGTTTTAAGTGCATTAGATGTTAAATTTTGCCTTTCAGCTTTGCAGAAACTTAGGAGTTCTCTTACCATAGAAAACATTGGTGTGCAAAACCTGTTAGGTCTGTGTTCATCTTTGCCTTGGGAGAGTGAATACAGGCAGGTGAGAATGCTCTAAACCAAAGAAAACCAAGAACTTTCCCTTTGGACAGCTGGTGAAAGAGGAGGAGAAGCTGCACAGAATTTCATGGTTCAGAAGCTGCAACTAAAAATAGAACTGGATTTCTTCATATGTTAATGCTAGTGTTTATGAAGGGCTAGACTCAACTGCAGCAACCACAATTAATTAAGCCAAGTCTCAGCAAACAGACTGCAAGAGTTCTCTTTAAAATCAGCTTGTAGATGATGGTGGTTGCTATTTCAACTATTCTTCACAATATAATGAAAACAAAGCAGACCTGTATACATACTTTTTTTAAACTGAAGATTTATTGGAAAGAAATTTGATCCCATATCTTTTCAGCAATATAGGATATTTAACATTTTATATAGACTGTATTCAAGTAGAAAAGATTACATTAAAAATTCCTTAATATTGCACTTGGGACAAGCCGTGGCTAAGCTACTAACATTAGCATTCCAGAACAAAATCAGACATTGTCTTCAGAATTTTAGTGAGCTGCCTTGTGTTACCTGCCAGATTTCTTCACAGGTACTTTGACACATTTTGCTATTGAACTGAAGCTCACTGCTAAGACTGATTCCTGTAATTTAAAGGTAAAGGCAAGCAATATGCTGTATGCTACCAGGAATGATTTTGGCAATTGCTTCATTCACATTATTTCACACTTCAGCCAAGATACTGTAGTGATTCACTTAACTCTTGTACAAGATCCCAGCATACATGTGAGAGGCTCCAATGCACATGGGAAGTGAAATACCCAGCTCTTTTTACACATCATTTCAGCCAAATTACCACACAGGCAGGAACCTTTTGTGGCTCACTGAAACAGACAAGTAGGTTGAGCAGTATTTGCACACAGCAAGACTCAGTCTTTGCATGCCAGGCCCAGCACGGCTGGCATCGCTTCACATTATAGCAGTGTCTGGCCAAGGAAGTGCCCACAGGGATGGGCATTGAACAAAGCCTGAATGGGGGACAAATCCAAAAGGGAGCCTCAGCAACCTGCAGATAAGAATTTTCACAGAAGTGTAAAGGAGGAATTAGCTACTGAGTCAGTATTGAGGATCAGAGAGATTATTAAAAAAAAAATCCTGCTTAAAGGAGTGGGATAATCAAGAATGATAGCAATCTAATGGCTGCTGGAGAAAACAGGATAGGGTTTAATTATTAACTAAAATTCTTGCTCTGAATTGGTATTTAAAGACTTTGTGTCATGAAAAAAGATAAAAGTTTGCATTTTATAAAATAATGAAACTAAAAATCTGCACTGTGCAAGTGCACTGTGAAAGAAAAGCCATGGACTTTACGCACACTACATGCAAAAGATGGAAAGACGGAAAACGGCAATTCAGCAGCAGATTCTCTCCTCTTGTATCTTGTTTACATTCCCAGAACAGGTTCACTTACAACAGTTAAAAAGAGAAACCATTAATTTTCCTTCACCTTTAAACCCACCTTTACATCTTTAAAAAAAAGTAAAATAAGAATGGTAAATCACTAAGGTCCATTTTATTTGTAGTAGCAGCTTCAATTTTTGTGTAAAAATAGTGTCAGCAGTTTTTACTAATGATGCAACTGAACTTTTGCTGTAGTAGGAATTATTACACAAAAAGCAAAGTCGTTTATTTGCTTTCCATCCTAGCTTAGCAAATCCCACGAGTAACTCAGCTCTCTGTAGGAGCCCTCCTGATGAAAGGAGCCAATCTATCCAGAGCTGTATACTTACCAGATTAGCCTGTAAAGGACCAGTCCTTACTGTGCATATTCAATATGAGGAGTTTTCTTTCACTGTTACTTAGTCCAAAAAACACTGAGGCATTTTAATACAGACACTCTGCAACATTTGTTTTATCTTCTTATTTTGCTGTAGATGTGGTAAAAATGCAGTTTGCAGGCTTGGTCTTTGGAACAATAAGGTTTTAAGTTACTGGTTTCAGTCGCAGAAAAAAATAACCCAACAAAGACAGACCAGTAACCCCACAGTAAATATCAGCTGCATGAAAACATGAGAAAACCACACTTTGAAAACTTGATTCAGAAGTGGATACCAGGAAGCTGAGTTTTAGCATATAATCTGCAGCCATTCACCCATCTCTGGATGTCAGTCATTCACACAAGTCTTTGTTTAAATCCTGCCTTGCATCTCCAATAAAGTGTCAATAGCAAAGTGTTACATAACTTACAACCAGTGTTAAGTAATTAGCAAAACACAAATAATGGTGCTTTGGCTCTCAGGGTAAGGAAAGCTGCACTTTTGCTTTTAACTGCATGGTTTGTACTCTTCTAAAACCTGAGCAAGTATCCCCTTAGGTGGAAAAAATATCTGATGTCCCTTGTTTGCTGACATACTACATGTGACTGCAGTTACTGACTGAATATGTCATACACTGTGTATGTAGAATTTTGTGATGCTTATCCTTTTTCAGAAACCCTAAAACGGCTAAAGTTTGTTTTGAATCCGACCTCCCTACACTATCCCCAATTACATTTGACAAACAAATGATATATTTCTTACTATAAATGTTTAAACATAATGAAGTGCTATCTTGCTTGGCTAGAAAACTCTTAGACTTGAACATATGCTTCCAACAATCAGCTAAATCATAATAAGCAGAAACAGTTATCAAAAGTTATTAAAATTGTTGTGTAATTGTAACAGGCTCATAGGCTTTTTCACTCCATTTCCCATATTAAAAATTTGGTAGATGTACATTTAAGAGAACACCATCACCACCATCAAACAAACAGCCGCTCTGCTAGGTTCTCACTTGGAAAAAAATAGTAGCAGTTGTCTTTTCATTAAGAAGCTAAGATGGTGGCCAAGCTCAGCAACTTGGGCAGCACTGCAGCATTTCAACAAGTCCAGGAACAGTCTGTCCTGAAACATGCTGGTGGCAAAGGTGACTTAAACCAAAGCCTGCTCTCGGATCATGACACAGTTGCAATGAATCTGTCTGGTACTTGCCTTTAAAGTGATATCAGTTGATCTTCTCTAGCCTCAAATAGCAGTAATAGTAACTCTTAAAAAATGAGCAAGTCCTGCTGGCAGCCAGCAAGCAGCAGTCTGTATGCACCCCACTACAAAACAATACCTCCACCCTATAATCACAGCTGGATTTTCATCACCTTCTCTGTGAACATGCACAGAGGATCTTAAACTGCAGCGCTCCAATCTGCTCAACAGATTCCTGCACCCTACCCTGTGCTGTGTAACTTCCATCTTCCACTCAGGAACTCTGGGCCTGGCACTGCCAGGTGGGACAGGGAGAGAGCCTGACAGAGAGTGCCAGGCAGGAGGCCAGGGAAGAGCTGTGGAACGTGCAGCCTGCTGGGAGGGCACTCTGTGCCTGTGTCCCCAGGGAGAGCGAACAGGATCAGAAACAGCAATGGAGGGATCTGAAGACTGAAAGAGACAGCAAAGATTAAAACCAGTATTATAGGTGGCTTTGTACTGCCATTTTTTTACACCCAGTTTCCAGTTCTAAGCACAAGAGTACAGCCCCAGGATCTGGACAAAATCAACATTCATGTTTCCATATCTCAACTGGAAAATTCAGGAACCACCATCAAATTTGGCAAGCCTGTTTTCACATAAAAAGAAATCAGGTGCTATACAGGAACAACAGAATGAATGCAAGCAACTCTTCATATCTGTGATGGATTCAACAGGATCAGTGGCAAACAAACCATTTCTGCAAATCAATCTTCAGTAATTTCATAGTGCCTAGCACTTACTACACAGACATTGCAAGCTTCTCAGGGCCTTGATTTTAGTATTACCTCTGACAAGTACCAAATTAAACATAAAATCCATACCAATCAGTGGCAGCTATGATGTCTCAGAAAAATGCCTGTATTGCTTTTTACTTCACCATCTTCTGTGGGTAAAATGTCCTCTTAAAAAGTCTTCCATTACTAAGTGAACTACTACAGCACAGTGGAACTATCATCTGTAATACCAAACATAGCAGGTTGATTTTGGAAGTGACACTCATATCTGAGTGAAATGATTACAAATGCTAGAAAATATATGACGGAAGAATGTTTCTTGGAAAGAAAAACGCAATCTAACAACCCTTACTGCACTGAGAATTTTCTCTCCTATGAAAACATATACAAGGCTGCAGTAAAACAGTCAAAGATGTAAGATGTGTCAGCCTGGGAAAAGCATAAGCTAAAACAGCATGAAAAGTGGTCCTTATTTCCATTTCAGGTATAACTGCCAGAAACAACTATTTTCAATATTTGGAAAGGCAAAATTTGAACTTCATCACTTTAATAAAATTATAACAACCTATCAAAATCAAGGAGACATAAGCTTCCACAATTTCAGGATTTAGATTTTTTCCACCACATTATTTGGAAAATAAAAAACTTCAAGCATTGCTTCCATCACCAGCATCTTCCTTCAACTGCCCGTTGTTTAAGTGACTGAACATGAGCAACATTGTGTAATGTCTCATTACTCTCAATAGTATGAAGAGACTAAGAATTGGAGTTAAATCTAGTATTTGGCCTAAAATAATTTTCACAAGACGTGCAACAAAATACCCAGCTTGTTCAGAAGCAAGTCTCTTCACAACAGCTTTGTCTTTTACATTTAGAATTTTTCTGTCTGGTAAGATGCAAATATAATGGAAGTCTAACATCTACAGTTATGTAAGTACACAACCCCCCCGCATACATCACTAGTAAATAATCAGACTGTATACAAGATTATTTGTAAAAGTAGTAAAACCCTTTGATGCTCCATATTTATGCTGGCAAATAGCTCTCCTGATATAAAAGGCACTTTGAAAACCCAATATGGTTTGGTTCATTAAGTTTGCAAAGTACAAACAATTGTACAAACATACAATTATATTGAAGCATGTCAGCCATTGTGACATTGTCTACAAAACAAGTTTCCAATTGCCGATAACACTGGTTTGATGGGAATGAGCAGTGGTTTCAGCAGCTTTACTGAAGACATGACAGGGTTTCCAGTACCACAATCTTAAGTAAAAAACCCTCAAAAACTTACAAGTTTAGGGGCCCCAAAAAAAACAAGACCCAAAGTCCATAACATTCATTCAATATTTACTCCTTAGAAGTGAACTTCCTCTGTAGCCCAAGGGCAGAAATCTATTCAGTCAATTCCAGAGGTGGTGGAGGCAGGCTCTGTCTCAAGAAGCGTTGCTACACCAGTACAGTATGGAAAGCTTTGGTCCAACAGCACCACTCCAGAAACTGACTACATGGCTGCAACATCAATCTGTATGTAAAGCTGCCTCACTCCTGCCTGTGGAAAAGGGAATGAGAGTTAAAAACGCTGTAAAGCCAAAGCAGTTTCTGGTCCTGAACATCAGCCCACATCAGTAAGTGACCTAGCAAAAAACCTAAACAACTTATTTTTCTGTAATTCATCTCCACATTTAGCACATCACTCAGAGAACACCAGATGAGTAAAGAGTTCTTCCCACAGTCAAGTGCACACACATAATGATGTATTAGCATTAGTTTTGCAGCATTACCTCTTCTGATTCATCCTAAATAACTGCCACATATGAAGCTGCACAAAAGCAATTCTTACTTTCTTTTGTGCCAGTTTAACTTCCTGAAAAGCAAACTGCTTGAAGAACTGTCAGTTAAAATGGAGCTAAGCACAAGAGCATAACGTGGTACTGGTTGTTCAAACCAGTTCTACATTTTGAACCTATCCAGAAAGCCATCACATGTGCAAGCTGCCAATGCAGTGGAAAGTCTGTGAGTAGGTCCAGTCTGTAGTGAGAAACTCTATCCTGAGAGAAGCCTCATCTGTTTTCTTAGTTCCTTATAGGTCAATATAGATCAACCCCATTTGATACACCTGAGACAATTATATCTGTTATTTCCATAAAGTGGCATGAAAAACTAATGCAGAGAGGTACACTAATTCCATCTACACAGCTGAATATTTTGAAATTGTTCTATACAGCTGGAGCAGGAAGGCTGTTCAAAACAGATACCAAACTCAGAAATATTTAGCCTTTCTTGATAAGAATTACAATGTCACATCAAGCTATTCACACTTGGAGATGTGACTTCCACTAATAAGACATACCTGAGTAAAAATATTGTGAGTCTGGCTTAGAATCCACCTCCCATCAGCATCAGGAGCTACTAGTAACTTCAAAGTCCCTATGTAAACATCAGTACAGAGGGTCCAGAAATGTGGATCATGTAAACTGTAGACTCCTTGCAACTGCTGCACCTAAAACAAGAGGCAAATTTTAGAAAGTGTATTTCAGAAAGTATTTCCGGTACTATGGTTTTTTACAGGAAGTATTATAAAAGCCAATGCATTCATTTACTTCAAGTTCACTGTGCATTTTGTCATGTTTTACCAAAAATTTTTATTACTATCTCAGTTATTGTAAGGAAGTTGAAACATGGATTTGTGTCTGTGTCGTGATTTTCTGTACATGTTGTGATTTTGTACCCTGCTGCATTTACATTCTACAAATATTTTACTGAAACCATTTCTGAAAATGGAGGTGCTCATGAGAGAAAAGTCAGTAACTGGATTTGAGATGGCATCCAGTTAAAACTGCCCTTTTTGCAAATGTGCAAATTTTGCCATGAAACAATTTGTGAGATTCTAACTCTAACAGAAATACATTCATATATCATTTACAATTTTGTGAGGGTTTAGATGGGTCCTGCCAATCCCTTTGTTTTTCTTCTTTGCACTTTCAGCAAACCCTCCATGTGATGATTACAGCCTGTAATGTCTGAGAAGAGGCAGCACTCCTTCAAGTGCTTTGTATTAACTTTGCAAAGGCACTTCATGGCATACTAATAGAAAAGTTAAGTAGGAGAACAGGTCAGATCCAGAGTAATCTTTGTATTCTTATAAATACACTTCCAATGTTATGCATAAACACAAACTACTTTGGGAGGAATAGCTTCAGGATCTGTTTTTCTGAACAAACATAGGAAATTTTTAAAACTCAAACTGAGGTGAAGCTACATGCAATTTAGGACTCTGGGAAACTATTAATTAAACTGGTACCTCCATTTGTGTATTCTAGGGTACATTTGACTGGCAAAGCATCATGAAATCATTCCTTTTACTGGAAAAACATCATAAAATGTCCTCATACACACAGCTGAGGCTCAGTCAGCAGCTTGATCAGTCAGAGCAAAACCAGCTTAAGAGCTCACCCTCTGGTAGCACTGAGGCAGGGCATTTTCCAGGGAAGGAGGAGTTCGCTGCATCAAAATCCCAATGGACTCTTTTAAAAGTGGAACAATACTAGAAAGAAGAAAGGAAATTAGCTATTATTACATTTTCAAAAGGTGCAAGGAGAAACCTAAGATTCCTTGATGCTGAGAAATTTTTCTCTAGCTCTTCCAACAGAAGCTGAGGAAGTTGCCATGAAAACCCAGTACAGGAAATAAAAGGATTGACAAAATTGCTATGGTGTCCTCTCAAAGGCAAGATTATTTCTCCCCCACGGTCTCCAGAGTCAATTGGTCGTCAGTCACAAAAGATTAATGGTTTAAGCACGGGACTTGAGATGAAATCTTCGAAGTTATGCAACAAAGCAGCTGTATAGCTCAAAACCAACTTCAATGGCAAATCATTCACAAGCAAACATAAAAATACTCAAATGAAATTGGGTTTGCTTTTGTGTTTGGTTTAAGGCATATTTTTCTTATGAACTAAGATAATAATGGGGTAATCATAAAACAAAATTAGTGTGGAACAGTCCAGCTACAACAGAGTTATTTTGTCAGGAACCGACAACTTGGCATATTCTTGAAGTGAACTAAGTGTAGGGTCTCATCCAAGCTCAAGGGTTAAACATTTGGAAGCAATTAGAGGTTCCCTTCTGGCCAAATGGTCTTTAATCAGCAAACTAAGAAGACATTTAATACCCTTTTTTATTATTATTACTTTTTGTTTTTTAATAAAACCAGGAGAGCAGTAAGCCTATGCCCTGAAGCTACCACTAATAGCTTATACTCTTACTAAGTATTCAGCATGGTGATTTTCTTTGTTTAGGAGTAGTGCATCATGTCTAGTTCAGTAGAGAATTCTAAAATTTTCAAGTGGATGACAAATATCTATAGCCCAACAGTAAAGTTTAAAGAGCAATTTAATTTCAAGAGCATGCAAGTCACCTAACATTCTGAAAGTGATTATATATTGCAGAAACTGTAAGCTTCATTTCAGAGTTCAGCACTGGCATCACAGCTGCAGTACATGCAGTTATGGGATTAAAAGCACACCTGAAACATTTGTAAGAGATTAACTGGAGCACTTGTTAAAGGACACTGCAGAACCTTTGTTTAAAATCTCATGAAGTGATGTGGAATGCATGGCACAGACCAGCTGTGTATTTGCAGATGTGAACAGATGACCTAATCATTTTTTTAAGTGTTTCCATTTGAACAAGGGGCAGTGCTGGCTCATGGACTGCTCAGCTCCCTCCCTGGCTAAACCTCGGCCAGGGTGGGAGGGAGCACGAGGCTGACCCTTGTCTAATGAACCCCTGCAAAAACTCCACCCTGAAATGAAACCTTGCAGGCACAGAGGCTGTTCCAGCCAAATTCACTGCCTGGTGCCCTCCAGCACATGGCCTCCCACGTTTGCACTGCCACCAAGGCATCGCTTCAGAAGTAGGAAGAAGCAATTAGGGGCAGGCAGGAGTTGCCTAAACTAGACCTGTCACCAAGACAAACATTTAGCAATGCAATAACTGTCAATCTGTCTAAAGGAAGCTTAATTGGAGTGTCACATTCTACAGTGGATTACAGAAGTTTAGGGGAAAAGGGTTCTCTTATTAATGGACCCATCTCACTAAATAATGTCCATGTCACAAGCATTACATCAAAGGGAGCTGGAGCTGCCAACACAATCCACTGAAGAATTGATTTCAGTTTAACTCCCTATTTAAAATGCAGGTTTGTTTCTAAATAAAAACCTTGAAAGACCAATACACAAGTTCAGGATGCAAAGTGAATGCAAGCGAACACTATTCCATTCCCATACATTTAACAAGGCCTGTCTAGCATGTGCATCCAAAGGTTTCAAAAACCACACACATACAGGCTGAATATTTTTTCACAGGGAAACAACTAAAGGAATAGAGAATGTAGTAGTCTACCTTTTAATTGAAACATACCACTAAGTGTGAGAATAGCCATGAAAGAAAGCTAACAAATATGTCTAATATGTACAAATTATTTACACTAATAAAACTGATGTACATTATCTGATGGAAGAGAAATTAATCGTAAAGTAGATCTGAAGAGGCTATGAAACAAGAACATCTTAAAAGTCCAAAGAATAGAGTAAATCAGGATGGCTTGATACTGTTGGTGAAAGTTGAGGCATATCCCAGGTCACACCTTCTTCCTAATATCTTAGAGCCAGTGTTCAGATGCAAAGTTTATCTTTTGCAAAGCTGAAAAGCCAAAAACCAGCTGCAGTGATGTGCCAGGCCCTCACAAATGCTGTTCAGAGCACAGGCAGCCTGTGGATGCCCCTCTGCATCCAAAGGGTGCTAGCTCACATGGTATCTTACTGTAAGCCCAACTAACACAACAAACAACAGAATCAAATTTTATGATGCCTGATGTTTTCCATTGTTTCATGCATACTACTGAAGTAAAAACCTTTAATTTAAAAACCAAAACTCCACAGAGTATGTTCTTTTCTCAAACATTAACTAAAACCAGTATTAATCACTAGGAGGCCCTAGAAATATCAGTTCCACTTCATGTGACTGGAGAAAACATAAGGGAAGATGACAAAACCAAGCTGGCTGAAAATACAGTTAGAGATTTTGACCAAGCTTTCTCTTTTCTTTGGCTTAGTTATTACTGAAAAAAAAAAAAAAAGTGGCTGCCTCCACAACAACTATTATAGTGCTGCTTCCCCCCATGTTTGTTTTAATCTACAAGACTACTGAGGAAAACAAGCAATGCTGATTTCTCACCAAGTGGAAGGAATTCTCATGCATTAGCAGTCATTAAGCTTTGCTATTAAAGCAGACATAATTCCATGGCTTTCTGATTACCAAGCCTTAAATGTAAAATATCACACTCTTTTACAAGACACTAAAATTTGAAAGAACTAACCCACAGCAAGATTTGGAATAAAAACATATTCTCTACAAAAGCCAGAAAAGCAAAGGTAGCTATTGTTATAGCACATCACATTTGCACATACCCTGTTACAGAAGTGAAAGGTGTTCAAATAAATCAAAATGAACTAACTATTGACATGAATCTGATAAATACAGCCTGCCACCACTACACATGGATTGATTAGAAATTAAGAGTGAAAGCATCAGACTCTTATTTAACCTGCATCCCATTCAGATGGCACTCATGCCTATTCTGTGCCATCCTGTTTATGGCACTGTTTCTGTAGGCACAGCCAGCAAGACCCCAGCACTGGCATGACCTTGGACTGCAAAACTGAAAACAACTCCAGGTAAAGAACCCCTTAGGCAGACGCTGCACTCAGAGCACAGCAGGAAATCCAGTCAGTGCTCTCAGCACTACAGAAAATAGGGGGTTTGTGTATTTGTGACAGGTTTTGTGGAAGGTACACAAACATTGCTAAGGATCAAGACCAGCTAGGTTCTTCAAGTACTACAGCTTGAAATCTACAGCCACTTTTCCAAATTCTGGGGTTTTTTTCCAGCCACCATCCATATCTGCAGTGTGAAGACTGTTGGCCTGTTTCAGAACTTGAATGAATATTTTTTATTAGGCAATGGCAATTCTAATCAGACTGCAAGCTTTGCTCAAGACAAGGACCACAGGTTTAACATGTGCTTTACAGATTTTGAATTCTTTGTTCTCATAACAATGTAGTTCCTTGATTCTCAAGCAAGGCTGGCAGGTACCATTACCCTGTTAATAAAGGTAGTGCTTGACATTTAGCAATAATGGCTTAAAATAACATCAACAACAAACATGCTAGTTTGGAGGACTTTTGCTATAGAAAATCCCTTCTGAATCTTAAGGAATGCAGCACTTCATTTAAAAAAAGTAATTTTTTTTATACTGCTATGCCCCAAACATGAAGGGACTTAAATGTTACTGGCACCCCCCCCCCCAACACTCTTTCATATTATATCATGTTCAAACAGCTCAAGATTTTATGCAAAAAATAATGTAACCCATGGAAACAAGTTCACTAAATGACTGAAGTAAATTGCCTCATTTCTTTGACCACTTAATATGCAGTCTGCATGCTCTGTGCAATCTAGTATCAGATTTAGTCTACTGTGCCTTTCTAGAAACATGTGGGTCTAATAGTGGTTTAGGACAAACTTGATTTATACCAGAGCTGTGGCTCTTGCGTGGTGACTAGTTTCACATAGCTGACTGAAATTGCTTCAACATTTCAGAATAAGGCTTAGAATACTAATGTTAAAACTAAATGAGTATTTAGTTTGAAATATTAAAAGCAGTTCAGAGACTTGGAAAATTGTTTATTGATTCAAGGCACATATAATTATGTGGACAACACTTTGGAAAAAACTTGAAGCGTGTCAGCCTAAACTACAATGAAATAGTCAAGCTTTTGTTAAAAAAAATTAAAATGCTGGTAGAACAGACTTGTCTATTTTAAGCATGTCCCCATTTCTGCTTTACTTGCATGAGATAGTACAGAGTAATCAAAAAAAGAATCATCAGATATTAGTGCTTGCATCCAGGAAAATTCAGATCCCACACAGGATTTTCACTGTGCAGTCAGAATGTTCTGAGCTAACTCATGAGGAGTTAGGCAGAGAATGTCACCCTAGAGCACCTTATGGGAAAATCTGAAAACCCTTTTGCACTAATTCTTAAAGGACACTTCAAACACAGCATAGTGAAGAAAAAGGAAAAATTAACAGTGGTTTTATGTCCAGAACTGTCAACGAAGATTACTAAAATCAAACATCACAAAAAGAGACTCAGGTTCTCAACAGCCATCTGTAACTGCCAGTAATCTTATTTATGATCCTAAAGTGCATTTCAAGCAAAACCATCAATAGTTCAGTCTGTTGGACTGCTTAGAAAACAAATAAAATACCAACATAAAACCATCCAACCCTGCAATTAGCGTTTGCTCCACTGATGTGCCAGGATGTGTCAGATGGCAAGAAATGCAGGCTTGCTGCTATCAACTATGCTACAGCTCACTGCACTGATAGCAGAATTATTCCACTGATCATTTATAACACTGTAGACCAACAAAATAATGTTACAGGCTGAAGTCTGGCCTAAGATCAAAAGACACATCAAATAGTGAACTTTTCCAGCATTTTCAGCATAGAACATGGGTCTCAAATGTTCCTTCTATCTGTGCTAGAAAACCTATAAACAGTATTATTATGACACCTCTATTATGGAATTCAGGATAATTTTAACTACTATATGAATGGAAGAAAAAAATTGAATTGTCATTCATATGGTATTTTCTGCTGTACACAAAGCTGGACACTTAAAAGACAAAGTGCATGGAAACCTTTTACTCAGCTATTACCTCTACCTCAGCAGTAGTTTCTTCCCCCTTGGAAACTTGCACATTTTCTTTCCCATTTTTTTGAGATTTCAGTACTAGAAGTAGTTTGTAATAATTTGTCATTTATGAAATTACAGAATGTTGCAGTCAAAATCTCTGAAGTTCAAATTAAAGTGGTGATGTAACAGTGATTTCTAGCAGAAACATTTCTGTGGGCGTTGTGTCTGAAGCCTGCTGCCCTACTTTGACTAGCAGGGAGATTCACATCAATAATCCTGTGAATGCTGCCATGCACAAGCCATAAACATGCCATACATGGTATGAGCAGAAGTAGCTGCACTTCATCAAATGACACTCACCACTGCTGAACAGACAAAGATGAGTTATTAGGTTGTAACTGGAGTTGTGGCACACTGCCCTATGGCACCATTGAAAATGCTGCCAAAAAAGCCTCATAACATCACTCAATGAAATATTTGCTTGACCAGTCTAATCCAAATAGCTTCACAGTCACAGTGAACTTGGTAAGAAACAACTGTGAAATCCAGAAGTCCGTGAAGCATTTCCATCAGATCTTAAAAGAAATAAGGATATCTCAGAGTGCAAATGCAAAATAAAAGACAGTTCTTGTCGATATAGGAAAAGAAAACTAAAACCTAACAGCTTTATTTGTGAAGGACAAGGGCACATCCTGTGCCAGCAGTCTCAACTCTGCTGCCCTGAAGCCATTCTGCTCCATTTACTGGAGTACATTGGTTTATATAAGCATGTACTAAATACAGAGATGAAGCTTTCTACAGTTTGAACCTGAAAGACATTTTTGTAGTATTATGCAAAAAAGGACAAAATATGCAGATTTAAGAGGGAAAGTTTTAGCTGTAGAAAAAGGAAAAGAAAGATAGCTCATGTAAGAGCTCACCAGAATGGCTGCACAGAACAGAGGTAACACACCACTCTTGGAAGAAAAGCAAATGTTGTAAGTCATTAGCATAACAAAACCCCTTTTCCTTCTGAGCTGCAATTTCTGCTGTAACTAGCACCAAAAATCCTACCAAACACCAGTGATAGCAACACTTACCTTACACCTATAAGTAGTGCTATCAGCATTGAACAAATAGGATCTGCTATCATTAGCCCATAGTTCTGCATCAGTATAGCAGAGATGATTACACCAATACTTCCCAGCGTGTCTGCCACAATGTGCAGAAATACACCTGTAAGAGACCAAGTGACACCATTAAACTTGCTGTTCTTAAAACTAATGGAGCATTTCAGAGATGTTTTACAAGAAGTTTCAAGAACTACATAATATGATCTATACTTTTTAAATTTGTGGTCAGTTTTGGGTCAAACACTCAAAGATTTTAATGTATTTGTAGAATACGGGCCATTTGAAGAATTTACATTCTGTTATGCACTTAGCAGTATTGGGCATTTCACAGCAAGGCTATTAACTTGAACAGTGATTAACAGCTGCAGCTAGACTTTCTTCATTCACCCTTATTACAGTACAGAAACTCCTGTTCCCTGATGCCTACAGTAGTGAGGTCTGTGTAAGATGGACAGACTGTAAACAGAAACAGCTCTGGAAAGCTTTGACATGTGCTAACATTTAATTGACAACACCTGCTAGAAGTTATTTGGCAAAAAAATCCAAGACAAATAGTTTTGAAAATTAAACAATATTGCAGACATGAGAAGCCTTGCTCTTATTCTGAAGAGTAAGACTTCCTTCAAGTACAAACACATACTTTGCAGCTAGTCAAAGTTTAGCCTTTGGAGCTCTCTGCTGGCAGTGGCTGGAAGTCATTCAGAAACAGCTTTTAGAATGCAATTCTCCAGACAGGTAATCCCCTCTTGTAAGAACAACACACTACTACAAACCAGCTCTTTGGGGATTTCTCCATTTGTACTGGCTCTGGCTGGGACAGAGCTGGTTTCTCCACAGCAGCCTGCATCAGGGCCTTCTGTTTCTCATGATCCCACACCAGGAAGGCAGGGGTGGGCAGGATGCTGGGGGGCACACAGCCAGCCAGCTGATCCAAAGGGACCAGAGGGACATTTCATACCATCCAACACCGTGCTCCCCAATGACACTAGTGTTGTCTTTCTGCTGCTCAGACTTCCCTAGGCACTGATCTGCTGGTGGGATGTGATTGCTTGTGAGTGACTGTGTTGATAGTGACAGTCTTTGCATTACTTGGTGGGGTTTTTCCCTCAGTATTGAATAAAATCAGGTCTTTTTAATGTGCTTCAGTTAAAATGAGTGTTTCACGAAAAGACTGACTTTGAAATATCTTCAACTGAAATACTGAGTATACACAATACAGTGTACTGTAAATTCTGGAAGAACTTGTAAATGCTCCTTCTCAAGGACTACAAACAAGCCAGAAGATCATCCAATAAGAGAAAACCCTACATACATTTGGGTATGCCAAATAATTACTACTTCCTACATCTAATAATTGTCTCCCTTTAACTTCTGAACATTAAAAAAAAAGCTAAGTAAAACCAACAAACAGCCAACCAAAGCTCAAAACCAACATCTAAATTGTCCATAACTAATGCTCAGGAGATCAGGAAGTCCAATACTACTTCAAGAAACTTAGATGCATTACCATCTGCTCTAAACCAACTCTAAGAGCTCGATGAAATGCAAGTTTTAAGCTCAGGTACTCTTTAACAACTACATCCATCTTCATGTTACAGAACATATATTACAATTAGGCTCCTTGGGTTTCTGCTTTTAACCACTCTTTCCTAGCTTTTCAGCATAAATAACAGAAGCTGAATCCCAGCTTTTGAGATGTCTCTTTTAAACTGTGTTGACAATGCATCATATTTACACTTCTGTCAATGTTTCAACACCTAGTCATGCAGAGGATACAGCAGAGCTGTTTACAGGGGAAATGGAACTTCATTAAATGGCATCTATCCAGAAGAACCCTCTAAAACAGAGGTGTGACAGACCCAGGCAGGCAGACTGTGATAAAACCAATAAAACATCATACTTATTCCCATCATACCTTGTAAAATCTGTTTGCTGGATCCAGCCATTACTTCAAGGGAATGGTCATCTGTGGAGGCAATTATTGACACATTAACCAAGACAAAGGCTCTCTCTAGTGGCCCTTCTGTTACACTCTCCCTTTCAGAAATGTCTTGGACAGACAGGCTGCTCCCAATGACCAGCTTTTATTCAAGCTATTGCTTTTTAATGCAGCAATTAAGTTAAAAGTCTTAAAATGCTTTTTTTTAAATACAACATCCCTTTACACAATGGATTTCTACATAGGTATATACAAAAATAAATTATCTACATTTATTCTTAATTAAAACAAATGGAGAGGTAAGACCTTCCTAGTATATAGCAAAATAAGACCCCTCAAGAACACAAGCCATGAACAGAAGTTAGAAGAGTAGGTTCAAATGAATTTGCTAACCAGAAATACTTCACTTAAGCAAGCATTTACACCTAATGTAAAAAAACAAGGATAAGACATGAAGGAAGGATCAAATAAGTAAAAAATCTTCTCATCCAAGCAGATTAATGCCTCTGTAGCATTAATCTGAAAGATATTTTAAGAAAAACTTGTTAAAGGATAAGAAAAGACTTCTAGTGAAGATATACAAGAATTTACACAACAGCTGATTTGAATATCAAACTGCTCAAGACAGCTACATTCACTGCTCTGCAAGGGTGGGGGCCACGTGGAAGGCAAGGAAGAGGCAGAAGCAGGGAGCTCCTGCTTTGAACCAAATTCCAGGAGACTTACTGGAAGACAAATGCCAATTTTCTAGGAATAGCAAGGAAGAGACAAGTCAATATTTTTATACTCTTTGTCACCTCCTGTCTGCCAGTTCCCACACTATTCCCTGCTCTGAATGTGCACATTTTGAATCACGTCAGATCTAATTTTATTGCTTAGGCAGGAAGGACTGGCAACCCTGCATCACAAGGCTTTCATGTGCATTGTTTCAAACAGGTGCTACCCACACAAGCTCTTCTCCCATAGCGAAGGCTACTGACCATATTTAACATAAATGTCTCTTCTCAGATTGTTTGCCTTCATAGAAAAGATTTCAGCACAGCTAACATAACAAGTATCTTTTCCATAACCATCTTAAAACAGATTACAACTACACAAAATGGGGAAAGTCTTATTTGAGATCACAAACCAAGTACAACTAACAAACCACAAGTTCACTGGTTCATTTTTTCTAATAACTTGTGCTGTAAAACTATACAAATGGAGAACAGTAGCAAACAAGCTCAACTTTGTCAATTGATGTTAATGAAAAAACTGGAACAGGGCACCTGATCACTAATTTCCCTCTATTGCAATAGCATACAGCTGTTCCATCTTTTGCCAACACACAACATTACAGCACACACTCAAAAACCAGAGGTAAAGCAAAATCTGTAAAAACTAACGTTGAAATTACTGCAAGTGAAACACAAAATGAGTCACAAAACATGATGGTGGCAGAGCATTTAATGAAGACATTTAATGAAGCTACTTCCATGTATGATCACAACAGGCTGACAACACACTCCTTTTATTTTTCAATAAGTTATTAATTGCAGATTTAGCTTGAGTCAGAATGACTCAGTACTTACCATGACAATAATCCTGACCATGAGAGTGTCCATGGCCATGACCATGAGTGTGTCCATGGGAATGTTTATGTTCATGGCTGTGTCCATGATCTCTGTGACTGTGCCCATGGCTGAGACCACCATTAAACAGAGAATGGCTGTGCTCATGTCCTATAAACAAATATCACCATCAGAGTGCATTTATGAATACATAAATGATGAGTAAAAGTACTCTTATGTTTGTTTCTTAGGTACTCAAAACCTATTCATCTAAAAGATGAATCTTAAGGTATGGCTTTAAATAAGAAACCTAACACAAGGTGTTTGTCATCTGTGGCTCTACTGTGCAGACATATCATATAGATACATAAAATATATATATATATATATAGATACATAAAATATACCAGGTTTGAGAAGTCAAGTGCTTCTATTCTGAGACTGGTTGTGCTAGACTTCTAGCACAATTTGAAAAATGTACACTTCATTAGATATAAGCACTTTAAAAATAGTTGTTTTAAGAAAGCAGAAATGGATTGTCATTTGCAGATTAAAAATTCAAGTTTAGATTACTGCTTAAAGACCAAAGACTATGGTCTTTGGTCTTTAAGCGGTCTATGTAAGTTCAAATGTTCAACCAGTCTATGTAAGTTTAAATGTTAAGCTCAAAGAGAGACTCACAGGCTTTGCAGAAAAAACCTCAGTGTATTTACCACGTGTATTTAGGCAAATCAATTCTGCATTTCAATTCAAAAGACACTAAGTTGAGAAATATCTGAAGCAGAATCATCTCATGCTTAAAATCTGGTTCAAATACTGTTTCTAAATATTCTAGCCAGAACCTTGCTGAAGCCCAGTTTAATTTGTCCAAAAAGATGCTCAGCAAATCTCTTTCAATATGTTCAAAAATTTCAAAAATGCAGGAGAGTGCATGAACTCCAGAAAGCAGTTTCTGGACTCCTAGGTGTTCCAGTTAATGGTTATTAACATGAGAAGTACAACAGTGGCATGCCAGGGCTGGTAATAAAACACCAAAGCCAACACAGCAATAGGGCACACACACACTTGGCTAGGATTGCCATTAAGAAGACATCAAATGTAATACTGGGGCTCTCACTGGGGCATAAGAAGGCCCTGGAACAGAGGCTGCCAAGAAAGGAAACAGTACTGAAGTTACATCCTACCAGAGCTGTGTGAATGCCCATGACCTCCATGCTGAAAAACAAATATTCCTATCAGATTTACAATGAATCCTAGTATAGAAACAGGAAGAAGTCTCTCATGATGCACATCGGGAGGCTCAAGGGCTCTCTAAAAAAAAAAAAAATGAAACAAACCAAAAAGCAAATGTAGAGTTTTACAATCCCTTTACATTATTAAAAGGCACCACAAAATTACTTAGGTACAGGAGCATTCTCATACATAACATATATATAGACATAATTGAAAATTACTCAGGATTTCCAGATTTTGGGATGATACACAGACCAACTCTCAGTGTCTGAAAATAAAGTTCTATTATTAAAGCTGTGAAGTACAGCAGCACATTCTGAGAGTCTAGCTCAGTTTTATCATAAGATGTGGTTATGCTGTGGGATGTGGCTCAACACCATCTGAATACATTCAGGTTTGTTGCAGTATGTAGATTGCTCAAGTCACCTATAAGACTTCTAAGAGTCTAGAATGCCATTTCTTCCTTTCTCCTTAGAGAGGTGAGGCAACAAGGGGAATGAAGATTCAGAACAAATTATGACATTTTTTAGAAATTCTCAAATCTAGATTGATTTTTTTAAATTCTTTTTTACTCTACTTCCTCTGGAATATTTTTCTCAATGAGACATTATAGACCTAATATAAAAAAAAGACAGGCTCCACCTCATAGAATCTTTACATAAACAAAATACACCATTTAAGAAGCTAGTACAGAAACTGAAAAAGCTGAGTTTCTCTGTCATTAAACAGCAATTTCAGATGGCCCTATTCTCTGTTCAAATCAGATTTCTAACCAATTATAATTTATTCCTATTAAAACCAGAAATATTTATCCATATTAAATATAGAATGTAATAGTGTATTTGATTTCATCCCATACCTCAACACCTTCAGAAAAAATGAAGAATGCTGTAAAGATGAGGAATAAGCCATTTACAAAACCAGCAAGTACTTCTGCTCGAACATAACTGCAAGAGACAAGAAAAAGTAATAGCAGATATTACCACTTCCATTTAAATGCTGAAAATTAGATCTTAAGAGATTGGAGTGCAATCTTCTAGTTCTCAAACAGTTAGATTACACAAATTTGCTAAATAGAAGATGGCATATAAATTACAGATTAGTATATAAAACTGACCATGCTGTGCTTTGACAGAAACTGCCTGATCCAGATCGGCCATTCTCTGATCTAGATGAAAGAAATCTTTCAGTATGTCAAAATCTTTCCATTTAAGATTATATCTACTCAAAGTTATGATATAAATGTAATTTAGAAGCCACAAACTAAGATAAGCACATGAAACCTAATCACCAGTTTTCTGGTGTTAAATTATGTTCAATATCAAACAGACATGTATTAATTTGCTTCCCCTCTAGAAGGTGGATTTTCAGTAAAAGTTTTAAGTAGAAATTAATTATTTCAAACATCAGATTTTCACAATAACAAACTGCCAGATTAGAATAAGAAGTAATTTCAGTGTAGCAAACATGAGGCTTAATAAAGTGTGGCTGTTCTCTGATAAAGGGAACACCAGCTGTTAAAATGCTCAGCAGTAATTAATACAGAACATGCTTTCACTGCAATTAGTTCATGGTATGAGTCTCTCTAAATTGATTTCTATGCACACTGAAGCTTCCACCCAAATTAAACTGTGCTTTAAGTTTCAAACTATATAAGTCACACTTAAGCAGGGCAGCTGAAGCTAAATGCTGACAGGCCAATAATGCTACAGGGAATGCCCATGTTAGAAGTAATTTGCTGTTAATCAGTATTACCAATTAATAATATGGTACCACCAGTATTGTTTTATAGGGCACAGCTGCCATGTTCAGTGCCTGCTGAAGGCCAGCTGCAGCAGATAAATCCACCAAGGGCAGTATGGGATGACACACCTCAGCCTTGAGGATCTGTGTAAATGGCAGTCACAGCTCCCAAATCCTGCTGCTTCCAAGAGTCATGGCTTATAATCAGCAATGCAGCATCTGAGACTTGGCTCCTTTCAGTTGTGGCTTTCTGTTCCAAAGGAAGAGTGGGACACCAGCAGCCTGGGAATGCCTGTAATGCTCCTCACTGCACTGTGAGGACAAACCCAGGATGTGGCTGCTTGCTCTTCACTGGTGTCATTAACACATGGCAATGCAGGGCCACTCTCTGCTCTCTAACTTGTTTCCACTAGTATGATCAGAGAGATCTTGGAAGTGCTAAACCTTCTCCCCAAAAGCAATGCCTTCATATTTTTATTATTTCTATCAACTCAGATGTTTACATAGCTCACCTTAAAAAACCCTCACTTTCAACATAGTTTTTCCATGTTCAGCAAAAAGCTTTTGTTTGTAAGTGAAAAATAACTGCCTAAGCATTTACTATAATACATTAAGGTAACAGCCTGAAGTTTCTTACCCATATGAGAAAGCATCATTTGACCTCCATTTTGAAATAACTGAAGCTGCTAATCCAGCCAAGAGAGCAGTACAGTCAAAAAACATATGAAAAGAATCTGATATCAGACCTAAACTGAAAGAGAACAGGAAAAAAGGGTTATGTTCCATATGCTACACATTGAGTATGAAAAAACCCTACAGACATTAATCTTTTACACACTAGCAGAACATGCTGTGCTTCTAAGCTTCAGGCATGGTTTTGCTGGCACAGAGGAGAAATTCATGCTTCATCACACAAATACGATGCCAAAACTGCTTCTGTCAGCTTTAGAGAAGGCACTGTGGAAAAGTGCTTGGCAAAAAAATCCTCCTAGCTATGATTTTGGTGATAGTGAAAGGTGGTTCCACAGACACAAACCAAAATCCCTGGAGTAGATGTACCCACAGCCACATCCATCATCAACATAATTCAACTTTAAATCTTTGCCTTAGCAGTGGCAAGGCATTGACTAGGAGGTACACACCTCTCAGACCTAGAGGCTAAAAGAATTAGAGGGTGAGAGACCACATCTTAAATGTCTTATTTCCAAGACCAATGCACAACTGTTTGCCAACCTTGATTGAGAAACACAGTTAAAGTGAACCAGCAGGCTAAGAGGTTCAAAGCTACTTAAATTAGTTCATGAGTTAGCCAGTCAGTAGAACTTGTATCAGCTGGTAGACTATAGGTAAACTGGGGTTAACACCACACACAAGCACTGCCAAAGTTTATCAAATTACTCATGAACAGGTTCTGTAAGTCTGCAGGGAACTGCGTGCATTGAAACCAAAAATCAATGCTTCATATTTAAAAAGACATTTGATAGAGAGGTACTGTTGAGCAATTGTTAATCAACAATCCCAGAAGTTCCACTTTCCCAGTTCTTTGGTTATCTAAGAATAATTACATGTACAACTCAGTTCTTGGAAACTGAAGCACAAGAAGCAATTACTGGTTTAACAAGTTCTAAAGGATAGACACAAATATTGAAGTCAAACACAAAGTTTCAAACACTTCACATTACAAAGCTAAACTATTTCAGCCTTACTGAAAACAATTACAAGATTAAGATTAAGTGTTTCAGATGAAACACTCAACAAGAGGGTTTGAAGCAGAGGAAAGACCAAGTGTCTTGCTCTATATATTTATATATATACTTTATGGACACATATAGAGTTATACATACACACAACTGTAACATTTAAGGCAGAGGGATGATGGCATGGTATATTGTCCTCAGGTGCTGTAGTCACCAAAGCAGGAGAGGTGAAGCTGTTCTGAACAAACTTCAAAACAAGACCTATAGGCTGGATGCCTATGAAGCAGCAAAATGGAATTCGCCATCAAATTCTTGAACAGTTTTGGTGGCAACTTCCTCTTCCCCAAAATCAGGCAACATCTTTATGGAAACAGCTCATTTTAGACTTGGTTCTGAGCAGTTAGGAAGATCCAGTGAGGAAAAAAACCCACCACAAAGTACATCAAATATTCAGGCAGAAGGTAATTAGTGACAGTAACCCTAAGTTGTACAGATTGTGAAACGGAAGGAATAAGCATTGCTAAGCAGTGAGAGCTGTTTTCTGAGGTGATTGGGTTTTGGTGGTTTTTTTGTTCTTTTTTTTAATAGAACATTCCGGGAAAGAGAATTGTATAAGGACTGCTACTGCAACAAAATCCCATGTAAGTTATAGAACCAGAAATAATGCAGCAAGTTACCATGGCACTGTGCTCACACCTGCAAATCTCACTAAGGCAAGGCTTACCTTAAGTGCAACACCAATACAGCTGTGCTGCTTTCAAGACCTAAGCTAACAATTCCAGGTGGCCAGAGGCACGTGGATTTATCAGCAGGGGTCAGCAGACTGCATCTGCAATGCCATTCACCTCACAGCATAACCAGCTCTGTATCATAGGTACAGCTACAAGTCACTGAGCTGCACAAATGGCAGGAAGCCTGGTAACAGACCAATCTCACTTCAGCTGAGGCTTTTTAAAAGTGACCTGTAAAGCAACAAGACCTTAGAAAAAATGGGTGCAAAGTGATTACTAAAGTGATCAAGCAATTCAATCAATGACCACCAATACAGTGAAGCACCAACAACACGGGATGGATGCAAGAACTCCTGTAGAACCACACACACCATCCAGAATATAAGCTACTAGAAACCCTGTACTCAAACACACTGTGTCTAAAAAAAGTCACTTCCACAGCTGATTTAGTTTAACATCAAATTAAACAAATGTGCACATGTAGCAAATTTCATCCTTAAACAAGCAAACAAGCTCTCAGCCAGCAAACTCGTGACTGACCAGTGACAGAACTCCAGGGAACGGCATGGAGCTGACTGGGGGGAGGTTTAGATTAGACACTAGGAAAAGGTGTTTCACCCAGAGGGGGGTGAGCACTGGAACAGGCTCCCCAGGGAAGTAGTCACATCACCAAGCCTGACAGAGATCAAGAAGCATTTAGACAACACTCTTTTCTGAGTCCAGAAAACAATCTATTTGGCAAAAAGAAGCTCAGGAGAATTTCTCATGTGAGGAGCAATGGCACTGTGTCTTCAAAATGACAAAATGGTTCTCCCTATAGGGCTCCTTGTTTGCTTGTTATGTGTTCACTTTTCCAAGGCATGACCTGTCTGCTTTGACTGAAGACATCCCTCATCATATTCTGGGCTACCCCTCTCTACTAAAGAAGTACTTGCTAAGACCCTGTTTTGCTCTAGGCCAAAATCTGGACTTAGAGATACCCAAAACTAGTGACTTGAAATAAAAAAAATAATTTAGATTCTTAAAAAAAGAATAATTTAATGGCTATGCAGTAAATCCTAATTCTTAATCGCAAGTACGAACAAAAATAAGTGTCTTCTGAATTCCAGTACACCGTATTCTCCAGTGACAAAGTTCTGTGAGTGTCATTAAAGTTTCTCAGTTTAGTTACCTCATACACAGGACTTTTCAAGGTCACGCTACCAAAACAAAATGCTATGTTTAAAAGACAGACATCAGAACAAAGTCACATGAACAAAAAGCTCTTTATATCAGAGCACCTAAGAAAAATATTTACATCTGCTGAGCTATTAGAAAAAAAAATCCATACTCAAATGGACAGACTATGCACTCAATAATCCTCAAACAACTGCAAAGTGAATCAACATCAAAGCCAAAACCAAACACATTGAAAATGGTCTGGGTGCTGCCAAGGATAGACTGTGCCCATGACAGCGCTGCATGCTCTCTGGTGCCACAGTAGCAATTACTGTAATCAAAGTTAAGGATTTTAGAGTGTCATTTGAGAGATTCAGAACAACTTTGCAAATATTAGGATGCAACCATTTCCAAATCCACACCACTGCACTCAATCAGGACTTTTAAGAGTTCCAGTAATTTATGTTCATATTACAGCTTTTGGTAAGGAGGACACTGCTTGACATTTCCATGCCAGTTCATTCTGAACTGAACTATTAACAGAAATATCATCATAAAACAACTACTCTATCACCAATGAAGCATGACAGCAATACTACCACCATTGCCTGTTCTCTACCTTTGTACTGCACACCAGTACTGAAGTTATTCTGCATTTCTTGTATTTCGCTACAGATTTTTCAGTAGCAGTTTAATCAAGTCTCTTCCATTTTTTTCACTCTTGGGAATTTTTGTGCTATGTAAAGCACCACTGAGCTATACAAGGATGTGTCAAATCCTGCTTCTCCCTCGAGACAAAGATGTTTGAGGCAGCGATATCCAAGTATCCACCTACAGATGAAGCCACATTCCCCAAAGAGGATCTCTGTGCCAACAGCAGCTCCAGCCCCAAGTCCCGTAAATCGGGCCAAGGCCAAGCTTCCTCCTGAGCGAAGGAAGCACCGAGCATAACAGCAACTCCACACACCATTCCTCCGCACCGCGCACCCCGCCGGAGCGCCTCCGCCGCGTCGCCGGGACCCGGCAGAGGGGACGGGGCGCCGGTCGCTGCCCACGGGAGCGGTCCCGGTCGGGGGAAGCTCCCCAGCGGCCCCCGAGGCTCTGCGGAGCGGCCCCTCCGGACGGCGGGCCAGGAGGCCGGGCCCCGCCGAGAGCAGACGTGGCACTGGTCGGGCGGGACGCGCCGCTTCCTGCGCGCTGCAGCCGCGCTCGCCCCGCCGCGCCCCCGCCCCGGTTACCTGTTACTCCAGATGCCGTAGAGCAGCTCCACGAAGGCGAAGGAGAGGTTGAGGCAGAGGAAGGAGAAGAGGTTGCGGGAAGTCTTGTCCGCCAGGATAGACCTGCGCACGGAGCACACCGCGGGTCACTGGCCGCCCGCCGCAACAGCGCCAGGAGGCCGGAGCCGCTCGCCGGGCGGCCCGGGCGCCTCAGCACCAGCCAGCAGAGCCCCTCCACGGGGACTCGGCCGCGGCGCCGGCAGCGCTCGGCCTGGCCGGCTCTGGGCTACTCACCTGAACCAGCCCGACACCTTCCTGAGCAGGTTGAGCCTGGGCGGCTTGTACTCATCGTCTTTGATAGAGAGGGGCAGCATCTTTCCGGCGGCGGGGCCGCGGCGCGCCGGGCCGGCTGGACGGGCAGGCGGGGCGGGAGCGTTGCCCGGCCGGCCCACACGCCGCTTCCGGCCGCCACCGCGCCTGCGCCGCCGGGCACCGGGGCTGAGGGGGCGCGCCGGGGGCCGGGCCGGGGCTGCGGGGGCTGCCCGGGCTCGGGGCTGCGGCGCCCGCTAATGAAACACAGCACGCCCCAAACGTGAACTGTCCTTCGCTTCCGCGTCCCGCTTGCGATGCCGGCTGCTCCCGGTGCAGCTGTTGTGGCAGTGCTCGGCAGGGGGAGGGGGCGGAGGAGCAGCGCGCTCGCCGTGTGACAGCCAGAGCCGCCGGGGCGCTCCGCCCGCTCAGGACCCTGGACTACAACCCGGAGCCTGCCGGGAGGAAGCGCAGGGACGCACCGCAGGAAGCGGGCACGGCGGCGCCGCCGTAGCGCTGCCGCGGTCCCGCACGGCCGCCCCTGAGTCACCGGAGCGGCTTGTGCGGGGCTGAGCGGCGGGGTTGGGCCGGTGCCTCCTCCGCCCTGCCCTGCCGTTCTGCAGGTGACCCCTGGGAAGCACAGCCCGGCCGGAGGAAGGGGCGATAGCGGCGCCTGCGGAACGTGAGCGAAGCTGTGGGCGAGGGGCGACGAGCGGGGCGTGCGGTGCCGGGCGGTGCTGTGCCGTGCCGGGCGGTGCTGTGCCGAGCCGGGCGGTGCTGTGCCGAGCCGGGCGGTGCTGTGCCGAGCCGGGCGGTGCTGTGCCGTGCCGGGCGGTGCTGTGCCGTGCTGGGCGGTGCTGTGCCGTGCTGTGCCGTACTGCGCGGTACCGGGCGGTGCTGCTGCCTGGCTGCACCCAACTACTGCGGGGTGCTGTCAGGAGGTGTTGCCCGCCAAGGGAGGGGACCCCGTTCGAGAGCTCTTTTTCTTGAAACGAGGATTAAAATAGTGGTCGTTGATGTAGGGATTTTATATTCGTCAATTTTGTGTTCTCTGCAGGTAGTATTGTATGATTTTAAAGAGACGTCTATCTGGCATTGAAATTTCATAACTTCATTGGCAAAACTTGCCTGCATTTGCTTGTTGGAAAGTGCCGTGATGCTAATTTTAAAACACCTAAATAGACCTTTATTTTGAGAATATATAGTAATATCATCATTGCCTATCACTACACCTATTGTAAGTACTAGAAGGTATGGCAAGCAAAGTCTCATAAACAGCAAGCAGTATTTATATTATCATTTTAAGTATGCTTTTAAAGTTTAATTAATCATTACAATACACTGGTAAGTGTTGCAACTAGGTTGCAAACTGCTGAAAGAGGATCTGAGGTTCACTTCTTCAAAAGCCCATTTGATGGGAATGTAGTGGACCTCGTAAATGCTGTGTTGCCACTGCTGCTAATAATTTTTAGAAGTCAGGCATGATTGTTTGTTCCCTATAAAATGAAGCAACCAGAACAAGCAGTTGGCTTCTGGAAGTAGTTTCAGTGACCTCTTGTCACAAAGTAATAGTAAGATTTGATCTCAGATTTGGGGAGACCTGTATATGTGGACATATTCAGATTGGTGTACACACAAATAAATCTGTAGTTTTAAGAAGCAAACTTACATAGCCCAAACAAATTACTCTTATGGAATTTCATAGAGGTTCAATTATTCAACAAATTCTTGTACTCTAAGCTTTCATAGTATCATTCTCAAATTAAAATTAGTGATTCTTTGCTTGTTTGGTGAGTTTTAAAAGAACAAAGATCTCTCCAACAACCTAGGAGCACAGCTTTCCTATATTGCTGTCCTGAGTCCTGTATATCCTTCTTTTATGTGCTTGCACTCATATTTTCCAAGCTGCCAAACCTCATGGGAAGACCAAAATGCTGTGTCTTAAACCTCTGATACAGCTGGTAATCTTAGTGAGAATGTGAAGGGGATGACCCAGAAAATAAAATATTATTGAGATAAAATTTTATTTGCCTGGCTGTGGTAGCCAAATGTTTTTAGTGGTGCCTGGTGAGCACAGGAACACCTGTCAGGTTCTGCAGACCTACTTGTGTCTCCACAGCTGAACTTAGGGGTGGAACACACAGACACTGCACTGGCACAGAGCAGCAATTTTACAAGCAGAGAAACAGACTGTTCTTTTCTTTTTAACCATCTGGTGTAATGACTTCTTTCAGGAGTGTTCTTTGAAAGGCAGAGATAATTATTCAACTGAGCATTAGGAAAAGGAATGGGATAATTACCTTGAATGCATCTATCAGTCAATAATTGGAGGACCTTTTGCTTGTAAAAGAATGCTGGGTAGCATGTGGATAACTGTTGATCTCCAGTTATAGAGTCCCTTTAATTTTCAGCAGATTCGAAGATCACAAACATCTGTCCTGTAAAAACAAGCTGGGAAAACAATCCTACTGACAACAATGAGGTAAGTTGTGAGGTGTTTTAGACTAAAATAATTGATATTCATATTTTCAAGCAGGTTATTTCCACTTTGGAAAGAAATTATTCAAAATTCTGTGGAAAAAAGAAAAGATACACACAGATACTCTCTCAAAAATTGCACTTGTTCGGCTGTCCTGATGACTGAATTTGATCAGAATTCCCTGCTGGAAACCTAGAAATTACTCACAGAGTAACATGAATAATATGCATACATGAGTAATGGTATTAAAGTAATATGTATGGATGAGTTAGTAGCAAGATTAGAATGTTCATCTTCTATTCAGTTTATACCAATCTTTCAAGTAAAGAAGGAGAAGAGGAAAACTGTAGGAAGTGCAACAAAGACAAGTGCCAAACTCTGCACCTAGACAGACAGACTGGGGAATGAGAGGCTGGAGAGCAGTGCCATGGAAAGGGACATGGGAGGCCTGGTCAATGGCAAGAGCCAGCAGTACCCTGGCAGCCAGGAGGGATATCCCTGTCCTGGGGCACCAGGGACAGCACAGCCAGCCAGGAAGGGAGGGATTGTCCTGCTGTGCGCTGATGCAGCCTCACCTCATGGTTGTCGTGTGCAGTTTTATAAGAATACAGTAAAAGAAGGGTATAAAGCTGTTAGAGAGTGTCCAAAGAAGAGCTACAAAGATGGTGAAGGGCCTTGAGGAGAAACTGTCTGAGGAGTGGCTGAGGTCCCTTGCTCTGTTCAGCCTGGAGGAGAAGGGTCTGTGAGGCCTCCCAGCTGCCTACAGCTTCTGAACTAGGGGAAGTGGAGTGGCAAAGCACTGATCTCATGGCTCTGGTGACCAGTGACAGGACTCAAGGGAATGGCATGAAGCTGTGGCAGGGGGTTTAGGCTGGGTAGTAGGAAATATCTAACTATCTTAGCCAGAGGGTGGTAGGGCACTGGAACAGGCTCCTCAGGGAAATCATCACAGCACCAAGCCTGATGTGTTTGGACAATGCCTTCAGGCACATGGTGGAATTTTGGGGCCTTTCCTGTGCAGAGCCAGGAGCTGGACTTCAGTGATCCTCATGAGTCCCTTCCAACTCAAGATATATTATTATTGTGTGAAGAACATTTGAGGGGCTATCTTTCTAGAAGCTGCTTTTTAAGAGCTTCTGTTTAGTTCTAAGATCACAATGATCCAGAAACCTCTGCCTTAAACTAAATCTACACTCACAGTTAGCTGATAGGTAACACCTTGCATCTGACATTGCCATTTTCTCATGAGTTCTAGATGTATCAGTTCAGCTGTTGCTGAGGTTGTTCATTCCTGTATTACTCCATCTGGCATTTTTTTTTGCTCCACCTGTGTGTTATAACCTTAGTGTGATCAGCATCACATTTTCTGTACTGATGACCATTACCAAGCAGGTATACAAACTATTGACAAAATGTCCAGCAAATCAGTTATAAAAATTGTTCCTTCTGTGTGGTGCTTGAGCAACAGAAAAGGTGAGCATTTTATTTCCTCCTTCCTGCCAGAGCTTTTGAGAAGGCACCTCTCTCCTTTTCGCTTCCCAGTTAAGGTAGAGCTCCTCCAATGCTGAAAATTGAATCTCTGTACCAATTTGCTTTCTACTTTCAGCTGGATAGACTTGGTGAGGTATGTAAATGTTGAATCAAAAATTTAGTACTGAGAAAATAAGAAATAATGAACACTCTAAAGAGCTACTCTAGATTTATTTCACAAAACAATGAAATTCAAACTTAACCAAGAAGAGTGAAAAGCAAGTAAACACAGAAACTGGGTACCAGAAACACCTGTCTTGACAGCTGAAAGTAATTTGCCAAAGAGCTAAAGTTCTCCTTATTTACTTATTTAAATGAAAATGTACTTAATATTTTGGGAGTTTTGATCAAGAGAGAAAACTGTACATGGGTTTAATGACTTCCTTTCCTGTTGCTTGTTTTCAAGGTGGTTTCACTTGTGTAAGCTTCCAGGAAGAGTTATGGGAATCCGCCTGCTGCGCTTCACCTCTGTGGTGATCATCGTCCTGCTCCTCGTGGCAGGTGCTTTAACAGCTTTGCTTCCCACTATCAAAGATGACAAATTGCCCAACTCGAGAAGGGAACCCAAAACCCAGACTCAGTCTGCCCTGGATTCATTCACTCTTATTATGCAGACATACAACAGAACTGACTTACTGCTAAAGCTTTTAAATCATTATCAAGCAATCCCCCACCTACATAAAGTAATTGTGGTGTGGAACAACATTGGTGAGAAGACACCAGAGGAAATGTGGAATTCCTTGGGGCCTCATCCTGTCCCTGTTGTCTTTAAAGTTCAAACTGTAAATCGTATGAGAAACAGACTGCAGAATTTCCCTGACCTGGAAACAAAAGGTAATCAGCAGTTCATATCACTATTACTAATATTATTTCCATGCTTGAAATCTGAATGCTAAGAGAGAGGTGGTTTTGTTATAGTGTGTAATAAATCAATGGATCTTGTGGACCACTTCATAGAATGTGGGTAGTATAGAAGAACCCTGTGTTATGACATCAGGTGCACACCACCACCAGGCTGTCAGTGAAGAGTAAAGGAAAGAAAAGAGCAATATCAAATGCATTTCAAGGTCTTTTGCAACAGTTCTCCATTTCTTTGTGAGGCAGACATAG